AGGAATGCTGCTATATGAGAAACGTGTTACGCAGGCACCGGGCTGTTTTACATGCCGTTCCCTGCTCCTTTGGAGCCGAGACATGGAATCACTCATCAGCTGCGTCATGGCATGCCGTTGCCGAAGCCCCCACGGTGTGAACACTGGCAAGGGGGAGTGGACAGATCCTGCCATTAATATTTAAACCCGGCACAAATCCCGTTGTTTGCTCTTAAATGTTTCCAGTTCCCCGGTGTAATTGGGCAGCCCGTTATCTGCTGCGCTGCGTTGCACGTGTGGGAATCTCCTATTACAGCCCTCTCTCTGAATCTTTTATAGGAGAGCAAAATACATTTACAAGCAAATTTGGGTTTTATTTGGAGGCGCGGGAGGCGCGTTACTAATTTGGCTATGGCCCGAACCCCAACGTGCAAAGTGCTCAATGTGTTGCGTGGGAGGAGGAGGTTTTATTTAGCTGCGCGCTGCTTTCGTCGCTGCTTGGGCTTTCTGTCGCTCACGCTATGTGTGAGAAGCGAGTGCCGAGGGTAGCCCTGGGAACTCCACAAAAATGCAGCCACTTTTTGCATCTTGCTGACTCCTCCACCTTTATCCATCACAGTGGCCTCGGTGAGGGACCAAGGATGGACTGAGCTTAGGTGGGATGGTTCACTCCAGGCATCCACGCCCCCCTGGTCCCTATAGATGCAGCCAGGTGACCCTATATAAGCATCTGAGACAGCATGGCTGGTCTGGATTGCTGCAGCTGGGAGCGGCAAGTGGGATGGTGGCGAGGAGGATATTAAGAGTGCGATCAAGCGTCTGGGATACCTCAGCGATGGGGCCGGATAAGCACTCGTGGTAGACAGATTAGTCATCGGTTCCTGATACGGGATAATCGCTGGCTTGTCTGCTCTTTATCTGTGAGATAAGGACTGGATTGGGGGAGGGAAAGAAAAGGCATGGAAAAGCTGAGACCTAAGACGGCCAGACTGGATGGTCCCTGGTGTGGTGGTCCCTTGTGGCTTATGGCAGGGCTTGGCCAGCAGCACTGCGGGGGCAGGATCAGGGCATGCGTGGGGCTGTAGGCGAAAGCCCTCATGCTCATCCAGGGGTTGTGATTTCCTTTCTGCTGCTTCAGCTCCCATCCCAATTACGTGGTTGTGTCGACTGTAAATTATTCTGCAGAGGGAGCATCCTCCTCCTCTCCCTTCAGCATGGTGCAAGCTGCGCCTAGAGCTTGCTGGAACAGCTCTGGGGCAGCGACTGTTAGCAGAAATTAAAAGAGTTTTGTAAAGGACATTAAATACAAATAGCTGTATCTTATCAGGTCAGGAGCATTCTCAGCCTTTGCCGGAGGAGCAAAACCCCTTGGGTTGATGTCCTCTCACTTACAAGCCAAGAAGAGACAGTCGCTCTGCTGAGCAGGCATCCTGGAGCTTGATTTTCATGAATTGCATTTGAGCTCCTGGTTCAGCAACGTGCGGGGCTGGGGCATACACAGCATCCTGAGCTGTCTCTGCGTGAAAGCAATGTCTGCTCCGCAAACAGATTCCAGGCAAGTGGGGAGGACATCGTTAAGATTTAATTAGGAACGTGTCAGCTACAGCATCCCTTGGCTGTCCGTGCAGCGCCTCGCTCTTCCCACGCTGACCCCCTTCCTCGCTTGAGAGGGAGATGAGATGGGAGAAGCAGACTCAAATTGAGCAGAGCATCTTCTGGCTGTGCTGGTCCCTGCTTGGCACTGGTTTTCCCTGAGGAGTTTCTGCAGAGCAGGACTCAAAAGCGGGGAGACGAAAGGCTGAGTTTCTGTTCCCTTTTGCGCTCCTGAGCACTCACTGGAGTCGTGCTGCTGCCTGCCCTGCGAGCTCGGGGAGCCAGGGCATTGCTGGGAGGTAGGGCAGCGCTTCGAGGGGGGGGAAATGGGAGTTGAAAGGGGCAAGGCAAGGGGAGGTGGATCCAAGCTGTTGTTTAGAGCACTTGGGGTTTGTTTTTTTTTTTCTTTTTTTGTTCTCTGGAAGATGAGATTGAACACATGTGTGTGCCTGCCAAAGGCCCTGTGCTGGTCACAGTTTGCTCTTTGAAGGATTATTGATCCTTTGTTCTTTCCAGCGGAGGGTCTCTTCCAAGCAGGTACACTGATGCACAGGGACTTGTCCCCTGTCCTACAGCAAATGAGGGACAGGACCTGGTGTTTAACCCGAGGCTCTGGAGCCCCCGTGCAGTGGTACTTCTGTTAGACTGTTACTAAGGTGGGGAAGGGCTTGCAGGAATTGGAGCTTTACTGATGCTTAAACGAACTGGTGATGTGGAGCAGGAGGAGCAAGCCAGGCGATCCCTGGAGCTGGGGAGCACTCTGGGTTCTGCAGCTGCAACACCTGCACCCCCGGTGCTTTGAAGGAAGGCAGGTCCCTGCTCTTCCTCAACCTCACTTCACGTGGGACGCAGAGGGAGAGGGGTTAGCCAGGCATTAGCCCTGTGGTCAGGATCCCTCCTGACGGCTGCTGCTACTGCTGTGGAAGGAGAGCATGATGCTGCCATCTGGGGCTCACTGCCTGGGAACCTGGTTGGTTTTCCCTCACCTGAGCTGATAAAGTAGAAGTGGGTCCATGTAAAATAAAGGTAGGTCCACTTCTTGCTGGTGGGACTGCTGACCCTGCAGCTGTAAACATGGTTGTCTCTTTTTTCCTCCCTCCCCGTCTCCCCCAGGCGCTCCTGACCCCACTGCTGGGGCCAGCATCGACGACGAGAACTGCTGGCATTTGGACGAGGAACAGGTCCGAGAGCAGGTGAAGCTGTTCCTATCTCAGGGAGGGTACTACGGCTCGGGGAAGCAGCTCAACTCCATGTTTGCCAAGGTGAGGAGGAGCCGGCTGCTCTCTCCCCTCTCTGCTCAGCGTGTCACGTAGCCGGCAGCTCGCCGGCTACCCTGGCAGGGTGCCCATCACAGCTGGGAATCTCTGCTCCAGTGCCTTCTCGCCCGGTCGCGGAGCAGGCAGTTGTAATCCAGGCTCTGGGTCAGGCCTGCATTGTCTCACCCGCTCTCCTGGCAGGTCTCTTCCTCCCACACGATGGGCTTTCCACGATCCCTGTGCGAGGGAGAGCTTTGCCCCATCTCCCCATCAGCATGGTGGAGGGAAGGCCAACTCTGCAGAGCCTACTGAGATCGTGTAGAGGGGGCATCAGCCTCCAGGCTCTTCTCTTTCTTTGCAGAAGGGCCTTATTTTCATATTCTTGGTTGCTTGGTCCTCCACACAGTCTGGCCTGTGGCTGTTACTCAGGTGGACTCCAACCAGCCAGGTCACAGCCATTGCATGAGTGTTACAATGTATGACTCCACATTATATGCATATATATGTGTGTGTGTATATTCACAGTCTGGACGCCCAGGCTGAGGGAGTTGTGGATTGCCAGCCAGGTGACCATGTCTTAAACACCTCCAGGGGACCATAGTTTGTCTCACCAAAGACCTTCTCTCTATCCTTTCCAGGTTCGGGAGATGCTGCGCATGAGGGACTCCAATGGGGCCAGGATGCTGACGTTGATAACGGAGCAGTTCATGGCCGATCCTCGTCTCTCCCTCTGGAGGCAGCAGGGGACGGGCATAACGGAGAAGTGCCGGCAGCTCTGGGATGAGCTGGGTAAGAGTCAGCACCTTGCAGACAGAAGCAGCAGGGTTGCCCGGGCTGCTGGGCCAGCAGACATCATTCCAGAGCCTTTGGGGGCTCTTTTTTTGGAAGCAGAGACCCTGTGAGATGCCAAGAGCTTGCTGTTATCTCCTGCTGGGGAAATCCTGCTGGGAGAGCTGGATCAGGCTCCAGCTGCACAGTTCAGCGCCTTAAACCAGGCCTTCTCCTGCAAAGGAGTCAAGGATTATGGGTGTGCAGAGTGTGGCTGGTCCCATACTTGCAGCAATCTGATGTTCAGTGTGGTGCCCCGAAGCCTTTGCAAAGGAGGTGAGCCCCAGGGGCTGGGTGTAGCCTGGTTGTGGAAGTGCTGTTCCTGGAGGAACCGTGATCCAGAGGCGGAAGGGCAGGTTCTCAAGTCTCATCCCATCTAAGAGATTTCTGTCTGCTCTGGTGCACGTTTCCAGGGTGAGGGCGGGCAGGATGGCCAGCGCAGAGCCTGGCTTTAAGGGAAATGCAGTTCTGGGTAATTCTAGCTAAGCATCTTAGACACTGGCTCAGCTGGCTGACACCGTAATATCATTAGAATAAAACATTTAGATGACGTGGGACAAGGGAGGCTGGTTGTGTGGCAGAGTTAACTGAGCAATTCTAGGCTCTCCTGGACATTTGGGATCTTGGGTGAACAGTTTGACTTCTGCCATAGTTTCATGATGAGTGAGTTTGAGTTCCTCTGCAGCCTGCTGGTGGGAGATGCTGTGTAAGGGCAAGGGCTCACAGGCTGGGACTAAAGGAATGTTGTAGAGCTGAAAGAAAGGTAGTCTAGGGTCTGGAGTACCTAAAGCTGCAGCTGGGATCACAGACCCTACCAAGTGCCCAACAAATGCAAACGTAGCCATGAGGCTGGAGAGCCTGGCCAAACAGTGCAGACAAGAGACGGGCAGGGGTGTGATGTCTCGCTTCTGTGTGAAGTTCCATGGATGGAAATAACCACGCCAGTTCTGGAGAGCTCATCTGTGTTTGCTTGCCAAGAAGATATTTCCAGGATTTCGGGATGCTGCAGCTAGATGGTTGGATACGCAAGGATCCTGGAAAGATGGCCAAATCCACCAAGCCAGAATTTCCACAGGGAAGAACGCAAACACATTGGTGAAATGTGGACGGATGGGTGTCTGGGCAGGCCTGGACACAGGAAGCAATTTGCCTAGAATTACAGATTTTTTGGCCAGATTTCAAACCCCCTATCCAAGCTGAGAGCCTTCCCTCCCTTCCTGCACGTATGAGGAGGGAGTGGTTGGGTTTCAGTCCTGGCTTAACCATGCAAGGACCAGGTTGGTGCACGTAGTTTTGGTCGGCAGAGTAGGAGGAGGCGGCAGCACGTCCCCATCAGCAGATGGCAAGGTGGCTAGGGAACGTCAGGGCCCTACCAAGGCTGGATCAGTGTGACAGCAGGTGAAGCGTGGTGCCAGCCAACACACGTCAGAACAAGCAGCTCGCCTGGTGTAGGCACGTCACGCGGGAGGGATTTGGGCATCTTCATGCTGAAGAGAAGTCCCTGCCGAGGACACGGTGATGGTCCAAGAAGCGGCTCCAGGGCAGGTGGTCATGGACCATACTCAAAGCAGGGATTATTTCCCCCCATCTTACAGAATCCTTTTGGATTTGGACCTGGGCAGTGTTTGCTGTAGGAACAGAGCATCCCTCTGAAGGAAGGGTCCAGGCATGGAGGGACCAGAGCTGCAGTGAGTTGGTGGTGTTCACCAGTAGCGAACATCAGCAACGCGGAGAGATGGGTGGGTAATGGTAGCTGTGGCACGTGGGGCAGTGAAGGCACGTTGTCCAACCGCCTGTGGGCTGCGGATGCCAAAGCTGCCCGGAATTACCACTGCTGTCAAAGGGAGGGAAGAGGGGCCTGTTGCCAGCTGCCATGGGAAGCCCCAGCACAGATCCTCTTCTCTTACCACGTGGAAGAGAAAAATGGGCCTCGCAGAAATTATTTTGGGCACGTGTTTAATAATTAATCATCGATTTTAGCAAAGTCTGCAGCACAGACTTGCGTGGGATTGGAAGAAGATCAGCCTTAAAGAAGATTGTGGATTTATGCCGGGGAAAATGTAAAGGATTTTGCAGGATTTCAGAGTTTAAAAAAAAATAAAAAAATAAAAAGGGCATCGTTTGCTTGTGCATGTGCTGCCAACTGAACATCTATTGCCCCGTCTGCTGGGGAGCCAAAGGAAAGACCTGCTGGATGGAGAGCTCTGCAGCGTGGGAGTATTTGCCCTGGCGCATTAGTACTTACGATTAAAGCCTAATTACAAAAAATAGACGAAAAACCAGCTGAAGTGCAGCCTGACCTTAATCTGCCTGGAGACGGGTTTATTTATCTCGGCCACTTGTTTACAGTGGGGAATTTCAGCAGATTAAGCTGGGGAGCGACCCCGTGGGAAACGGGAGAATTTCTTTGATGGTTATGAAACTTGGGCGCGGGATCGGAGCGCCTGTCCTCTCCAGGGCCAGCAGCCGGGACCGCTGGGCTGGGAAGGCTCCGACCCTCCCCCCCCATTCCCTGCACCCAGCCCTGTCATCAAAAAGCATTTTTGTTTAGAGGCTTAGCTTAATCGTGATCTGCTGCTTTGTTCCCCGCTTAACCTCCTGCTATCAGAAAGTTCAGATGAAGGTTTCTGCAGCATGTGAACAGACAGGGAGTCTGACCCGACGTGGCGTTTCGGCTCAGGACAGGAGTCACTTGTGCTGTCAGCTGATGTCACTTGACCATAGGGCTCAGAAAACCCCTCTTTTCCATCTCCCAGATAACTATCGCGGCCGAAACAGATGTGAATCCCTCTTCCTTCCTTGTCTCCACCTCCCCGCCACATCTTCCTTTCTGCAGGAGAGCCCAGGGGCACAGCGTTTGGGCAGGCAAAGGATGCCTCAGAGAGCTCCCGAAAATAGGCTGCGAAGTCATGAGGCTTCCAAGGATCGCATCTTAGCCGAGCTGTGTGAGCCGAAAATCCAGCGAGTGCATCCTATTCCTGGGGGCAACAGAGCCGGGGCACCAAGCTTTGTTACCGCCTGTCAGCCGAGCCACTCTGCTCACCGCCGGAGGTGTGAGCCGAAATTGCCGGGGGCTACTTTTTGCACAAGCGGCCCGGGATTGGGCGAAGAGGGGCAGTGACAACAGGCGATGGTGGAAAGGGGGTGCCCGAAACCAGTTGGAACCCCCGAGCTGCCCAGCACCAGGAGCTGAGCACAGGATTTAGCTCGAGGAGGTGGGGTTTATGCCTGTGGGGTGGCAACAGGCAGGTGCCCATCGCTCAGCTGAGGGGAATAACCAGAGCGTTAAGGAAGACATATTTTCTGGAGCCGAGACCTGATTTTTTTTCAAAGATGCCATGACCGTGCAGCCCCCGTGGAGCCTGCAGGAGCCGGGGAGTGAGTGACATAGACCTGCTCTGGGAGGGGTGGGCCCCAAAAGCCTCTAAGGAGGTCGCTCTTCTCTTGCACGTGCATTAATTGTTAATGTTGCAGCTCAAAAGTCTTATTCCCCTGTGTTCATCAGAAAGGGGTGAGCTTTCGGTGGGGTTTTCTGGGGGAAGCAGAGCTGAGACATGGATGGAGCTGGACCAAGCGAGGGCTGCTTTGAATATTTGCTGACCTTTGGTGCCTGCGGTTGCTTTTCCCATGCCTGTTCCTGGATGCAGTGCTGCTGCCACCATCTGCGTTGTGACACCGTCACGTCTGTCCTGCTGAGCCAAGCTGCTCCGAGGAGCCAGACGTGCACAGCCTTCACGCCTTATTAATGATTTGAACCAAACATGTCCACAAGTCCCAACGGGCGGAGGACAGGTTCTGGGAGATGCACCCCAAAAGCACCACCAAAGCTCAGCTACAACCCTGAGGAGCAGGGAGACACCAACGTGGAGCAGGAGTCAGGACATCACTGCTGAGCCTGGTTTTGCCTCACGCTGCCCCAAAAAGGGACCGGCTGCTCCAGCTGCCCGTGTCGGAGTCACAGCCTTGCTCGGGGCTGTTTGGCTCGACAGCACAGCTGGGGAGCTGCTGCACAGCAGCGAGGGAGGTGGTTTGGGTACCTGGAGGAATCCCCTCACCACACAGCAGAGCTGTGTCGGGTGATGTTGTCCTGCCGCTGGCTGTCATTTTGGGATGGGAACTCTGGCTCTGGGAGTGATGGAGAGGTGGGGGAGAGCAGCTGGCTGGGTGGGGAGAAGGAAAGTGCTCCAGGTCTCCACTGGGGCCATGGAGGAGAGGCAAGGGAGGGTGTTTCTGCGGGAAGTTGAGCTGTCCTGCACGCGTGGCAGGATCTGACATGGGCAGAGAGAGGAGCGGCACGGGCTGCCTCAGCCCAGGGAGATCCCCAGGGACACGACGCACCGCAGCTGCACCGGCACGCAGCCATCCCACCTCACAGGGCAGGCACAAAGAAGGGGACATGCTATATCCTGGCAGCCTTGCAGGGAAATTTGGGAGGAAAGGCAATTAGCTAAAGGGGAATTCTCAGTTTTGCTCTTATTTGGGTTTCTCCAGCCCTTTTCAGAGCAGTGGGTGACCCAGGAGAGTTGGCAAGGCTCAGTTAGCAGCACCAGCGTCAGTCCCGTCTTACAAAAGGATGAGTTGAATCTTAATGACGACAGATGTCCTTCGGCCTGGTTTTGCTTCTCACGTAGCAGACAGCATCGTCAGGCCTGTGAAGTCCCATGCTTGACCCGGAGGGTGTCATCATGGGCGCCCTACTGATGGGCACCTCTGCTTGCAAGATCTGGAGGCCTTACACCTTGGAGGGCTCTTGCCTGTGTGACATCAAGCCAAGCTCCAGGTTCCTCTGCAGGCTGGGAGCTACTGGGGATTAAAAAAGAAAAAGAAAAAAAGGAAGAAAATACACCAAATCTCCTTTTTAAATAGTTGAATGCAAATGGCCTGAAGAACAATGGCAGATGAAATAGCATTCGGAGCGGGCTTTAAAGTGCTCGGAACGTGGGTAGGATCAAAATCAGGTTAGTCTTTGGAGATACAGACTCTGCAGCTTGCCAGGGTGTTTTTAAGCATGCTTTGATGTGTAGTTCAAACACTAGATTTGTCCTGGCAGACAGAAGCACTCGCAAATTCATACACAACCGCTCTCTCCTTCCCTCCTCCCCACTGTCCCCCATCTCATGAGATTATAATTTAGCTTCATTACGGAGGAGTTTTACTTTTATTTAAAGGCTGTCTAAATCCCCCTCCTGGGTCTGTGCATTATGCTGAAATGAGTTTACAAACGCTGATGAAACCTTGCAGGCTCTCTCGACGAGCGTGGCAGCGGAAGAGCTTTGCCCCGCGGGTACGGTGGTGGCACCTCCTTGATTTCTTGGCTTTATTTAGGGGCGCTGTGGGTGTGCGTGGTGTTAAACCCACATTGCAAGCTGGAAGAGAAATCCTGCTGGCTCCGGCAGCTGCGCAAGTGGGGCGAGATGGACGTCTGTCCTCTGGAAGATGGCAATTACGGTAACGAGCTTCCCAACATCACCAACGCGCTTACACAGAGCTCCGGCCACAGCCAAGGTGAGTCTGGGCAGGGAGGGGAATTCCAGCTGATGGCCAAAGAGGTTGTGGCTGGGTCAAAACTCATCCCAAAGTTGAGAGACCTCAATTCACCTGCTGGTGATGTCTCTGGGGAGTCACAGGAATACAAAATACGTCTCTCTACAGCCTGTGGTTTTAGATACACTTGGGAATGTTTGGCTCTGCTACATTTTGGGTGAAGTCATCTGTATTTTAAGCATCAAATTAGGCTATTTTAAAGCAATTTGACCTTGGGGAAGTTTAGAACCCTATGGTCTGTGCAGGTTTGGGTATGGAGTTTTACAGAAAACCACTGCTGCTTCAATTGGAGCGGAGCTGAGCTTGGAAGCCCTGGCTGTAATGTGAGAGTGAGGAGCTGGAGATGATGCAGAGCCCCTTTCCCAGCCCTTGAGCCTTGCTTGCAGGCTTTGATTCAGGTGATAGATAAATTATTAGCCAGGAATGTTAAACACAGTTCAAGTGTGGAGCACAAACAGAGCAATACAGTTACGGGGTTGTTCCTTTGTGCTAAAATATTTTCTCAACCCCTGACAAAGCATTTGCTCCCTTTAAATTTAAGCACTTTTCTCCCTTCCTTTTGCCTGAAGTAGACATTAATTGAAAGTTACTGTTCTTACCGTGCCTCTGTCTGCTGCACTGGAATTGTTCTTTGGTGTGTTACGCGTGGCCAAAGTGGGAGAAGGAGCGGGGGGTGGCAGCCGTGCCGCGAAGGAAACTTCACTTTCCTGGGTGGGATTAGACCCTCAGCAGCGATTCGGGAGCCTGACAGTCCTGCCAGTCCTGGCCATGGCTGGGGTGGGCTGTGCACCCCGGCTGCCTCCCCATGCACATCCTCAGCAAGCAGCTTAATTTAAACCTGGCCGTGCTCCATGCCCTGCGCCAGCCCCGGGGCTCCCCCCTGGTGTTCCCAGCTCCGCCAAGGATTCGCTCTGGCATTCGGGGCAGGTCGCCGGGGCCGAGCAGGTCACTTTTTTAAGATGTGCGGGGAGTTTCCGAAGCACGTGCTGGGGACATCCCCTTGTCCCCACACTCCTGGCTCTCCAAGAAGGGGGCTGAAAGCAGCACAGAGCCAGGAGGTGTCCCGAGGTTAAATGTTTGTGTGTATGCAAATACTGCTGCAGATTGTTGCCAGCCTCTTTTATTACCGAAGGAGAACAGCTGATTCCTGAAATCTTTCCTGGTAAAGTGAGCAGGGTTGGTTCTCTACATGCAAACACCTGTTTAATTTCTCCCCACCTCGGGGTGCCTGCGACATTCAGGCTAATTGCTTGTTGCCATCGTTTCCGGAGTGTGTTTACCCACCCTCCTGGATCAGCTTTGAGCCGTGCCTTTTGTTTTCCCCTCTTGAATGCATTTAACTCGGCCGGTCTTGTGGATTGCAGGACCTGACATTCAGTGTTGCATCCCCTTTGGGGCTTCCCGTTTTGCTGCCCGCTGGCTGTGTTTGGCCCTCATGATCTGGCATGGCTGGAGCGATAGCAGGATTGCTCCAGACAGGTCCTTTCCTCTCAATAAACCACTTGTCTGATCTGTCTGGATGGAGTGAAATGCTCCTCCAGCATTCGATAGCTTAAAAAATGTCAGTGAAGTTACAGAGCAGCTCTGAAGAGGAGCGCAGACATCCGCTGCAGAGCAGCGGTGGGGTTTCAGATGATGCTGTCTCCTCCCTTCCAGTCCTCGCACACAGCCAGAGGAAGTTTCTGGAAGGCGATGGTTCCCCCCATCGCCCGGAGGCAGATGAGACACGCTCCTGCGGTTCCCTGTGTTGCTTCAGGTGCCACTGATCTAAGCAGCTGTGGTTCAGTGAAGCCGGGGCTTTGCGTTGGAGCGGAGGAGGAAAGCTGGAGGTGCTTGCTGGGCAGTGACGCTGAGGAAGCCCAGTCCTGACCCTTGGCAGCTGCCTGCACGCTGAGCGTCATGGGGCTGGGAACGCACTGCCGCATTTCAAGGCATCAGCCTCATGTGTGATAGTGCACTATTGTCAGAAACCAAATGGATGGGTGGTCGCTGCCTCTTTTCTCGCCTCTGTGGCCAAGGCAGCTGTTCTAGCAAGTTACTTACTTAGCAATGCTGTCTAAGGAGACAGCAGTCTCCATCAGAGACAGGATGGGCAGCAGAGGTATCTACAGGCAATCTGCCACAGCGCAGGAGCCGCAGCCCCTGTGCTCCGCTCGGGAACGGCTGCGATGGGACCCAGTGGGGCTTTGCTGTCATTGTAAAGACATTGCTCTGCCCAGGGAGGTCGTCTGTGGGGGCAGGAACAGGCTGTCCCTGCCCCACCAAGGTATTGATGGTTTTTCTCTTTGCAGACTCCCTGGCCAGGCCCAGACGAACCGTGTTCACCCGGGCGATCGAGGGCTGTGACCTCCACTGGCAGGACAGCCACCTGCAGCGCATCATTAGCAGTGACTTCTACGTGTCTCCCTCCTACCAGCGGGAGGGCGAGAGCCTCCTCTTCAACTCCCAGGGGCAGCCGCTGTGGTTAGGTGAGCATCCAAACCAGCAGCCCTTTGCATGGCCTGGGTGAGTAGGGTTGCTAGTGGAGAAGAGCCACCCAAGGCATCAAAGAAGCTTTGTTGCCCTGCATCCTTGCAAGCTTCTGCATCCTCGATTCAAAGTGCCTCCCTGGCCCTTGGCCTGAGGAGTGGGATGAGCAGAAGGACTTGATGCTCTCCCACCTCCCAGCCACAGTCCTTATAGCAAGCCCCACATTTTTGCAGTGTGGGTTCCCCTTGGGCAGCTTGGACCAGGCTGGTTGTGTCCTCTGTTGTCCTGCCAGAGTGTTTGGCTGTCCCCAGTGCAAGCTCTCACTGTTCCCAGTACAGGAGGACAGTTTAAAATCCCTTGAAAGTTGGCGGGGAAGCACAGCTGTATCCTTTGGATTTTTTCTTCCCTGCTCTCCCCTTTTCTTTAGTCTTCCCTTAAAGGCAATTAGCAGATGGTACAATTAAGCTTTCTACGACCTTAAGGCATAATGGACCAGTCAAGCCCAATACCCTCCTGCGTTGTAGACCTTTAATCCATTTACACAACTTCCCTACTGCAAAGTCAAGACCCTGGGCAGATCTGCAGACCTTTGACAACTACATGTCCTGGGATTAGAGTGGGTGAGACAGAGGGTATGGGGGTGCCTGGTGTGGCTGTCAGCCTCAAACTGACTCCAAAAAGGGAGATGCAAGCCCCACACACCTCCAGGAGGGTGGATGCCTCATCCCCACAGCCAAAGAGGTGAATGCATAGACATGGAAAAGGTCAAAACCCACCACTGCTCTGTCATCTGCTGTCACCCAGCCAAATGGGAAGAGAATATCTACAGTCCCTCAGAGACGTGGTTTGTGGAGCAACGGGCACTAAGTTGCTGTTAAGGCCAGGAGACAAGTTGAAAAGGGCCCATGTGAAGGCTGCTGGTACATCTGGCCTAGTGGGAGGTGTCCTTGGCCATGGCAGGGAGGTTGGAACTAAATGATCCAACCTAAACCATTCTATGATTCTGTGATTTTCTGATCTCTACTAGTTTAGCTGGAGCAGGAGAGGACATTTCTACTCTAGGAGGAGTTTTGTGTAGCTACAGGCAGCAGGTCTCCTCCCCGTGCAGCCATAGGCAGCAGTGGTGGGCTTGTGCTTCTGGGGACTTTGTCTAGCAGGGATGTGGTGGCCACAGCTCCCCTGTCCCTAGCATAATCTGGGCTCTGGTGAGCCCTTTGGCCCAGCTGGTTGGTGCATGTTATTTATCTGATGTAGTTGCCTTGATTTTTGGATTTTGCACTTTCATGGTGCCCCTTCAGGGACACAGCACTGGGAGAGGAGTGTGATTTGTCAGCAACTTCCAGTGATGAATTCAGCGAGATGCTGAGTATTTCATCCATTTAGCAAATGAATAGAGGGAGCAATAAGAAGCTCTCTAAAGATGCGTTTGTTTTGAAACCTCTTCCTTGTGTGTTCCTTGCGGGTGACCTTTGGGACATGGAAACCCCATTTGTGGAGGTGGTTGCCTGCATTTCCAAAGTTGAGCTCCTCCAGGAACAGAAATTATCCCTCTACCATAATTTTAGATCTTCTGTGTTTGCCTTTTTTATTTTTGTTTCCCCCTTGGTAGGACATTTTGCAAGAAAATGGGATTTTGGCTGCTTGTTATGCGGCATGTCATGTCATCTGCTCCTGCTAATTTCTCGCTCAGTCATAATCCTCTCCACAGTTGCTTGTGATTTCAGGTGAGCAATGAGCAGCAGGAACAGATGAATTCCTAAGCAACTGTGAGTCTTGGGCGGGGGGGGGATTCATGCAACCATTCCTAGTAATGAAACACCAGGTAGGAGAGCTGCAGAAGAGATGAGGTGTCTGCAGACCTCACTCCACAGAAGTGTTAAGGAAGCAGTTCAAAACATGACCCCAAATCTGCCAGTGCCCCCAGCACAGTGCTGGATGCACAGCCTCACCCCACGTATCATTGTCTGTGTGATAAGAGCAGGGAAAGGAGGAGGAGGAGGAGGACACCAAGAAGCGTTTGGGTGCACAGCAATGAGAGAAATCACCGTAAGCTGTGCAGAGTTTAGGAGAAGTGAGTGGCAGGGGTGTAACAGCCTGTGGTTGGAGCCATTGTATTGCAGCAACGGCGTGTTAGAAATGCTTCCGCTACAGAAGGTTTGTGGAGGTGGGGATTTAGATCCTGACGTGGCTACTGTGGGTTGAACATGGTAGGACTCCCATTAGTATTCCTGGTAAGCATCCCTGCCAGGAGCAGGGAGAAAGGGGTGACTTTAAGGCAGGGAGCAGGAGTTTAGCTGGGGCATGGGGAAGACCAGTAGAAGAAAATGCCCCGAAGCCCGATGCTGTCATGTTCTCTCCCCCATCAGTATCATCCTGTTAATTTCTGTGCTCCTCTGGCTCACCATGCCCTTGCATTTGTTCTTGCCTTGCAGAACATGTCCCAACAGCCTGCGCTCGGGTGGATGCCCTGCGGTCCCACGGCTATCCCAGAGAAGCTCTCCGACTGACTGTTGCCATTATCAACACCCTGCGACTGCAACAGCAAAGGCAGCTGGAAATATATAAGCATCAGAAGAAAGGTATGAGTAGAGCTATGGGAGAAGCGTCCCATGAGGTCTAGCTGGGGTGTCCCAGCTGGTTGAGAAAGTCTCCATCTCAGAGAGTAGTGTTGCCCCATCCAGAGCAGCAGAGTGACAGTGGGCAGCGCTGTATCAGACAAACTGATGCATCTGGTTGCTTGAGCCAAACTGCGTTGGTACCCACCTGCTAAGGACAGAGAGGTGTCCACATGCTGTCTTGGGGCTGCTGGAGTAGAGGTGTTCTTGTTCCCACTGTTGCTGTGTCTGATTGCCTGTAAGGCTTGCACAGGCGATGGTGGGGGATGCCTGCATTAAAGAGGAGCTGCTTGTCTGCAGAGCTGCAGTAACTTGCTGTGTGTGCCATCTTGCATTCGCTGAGTAAATTGTACCAGGAGACAAGACCAGTGTTTCTCCTTTTGCAATTGCAGTTGGCAGAGAGCTGGGGTCAGTTACTGCAGTGCTGCTGGTGGTCGGTGACTCCTGGGCCTTGCTAGCTCAACCAGCTTGAGATCATCAAAAGATGGAGCTTGTAAGACTCGCTGGGAGTCTTTGTCATCTCCAGAGAGATTTCTGCTTGTGTTTCCAAAATATTCAGGCTACCATTGCAAATGAGTCCATAAGCTGCAAGTCTGACATTACAGACCCCATCTTGGGACTCTGCAGCCTCTCATGTCCTGCTGGAACAGAGAATGAACTGCTGCATTTTATGTGACCTTAGGGGCACCTTTTTTTCTTGGGTGTCTTCTCACTCTGATGTCTGTGCAGCCTGTGGGGTGGCTGCTCTGAGCTCCTTGCCCTCGCAAGCTGCCATGCCTGAGTTGGCCCTGGAGGTCCCTGTGTCCCAGGCCCATAGGGTAAGAAAAGGCCTTTGGTCTCAGAGACCTCTCTGGGAGCAGAACCTATCTTTAAATTCCTCACTTCTAATGTGTTTCTATTCCATTTTTTGCAGAGCTGCTGCAGCGAGGAGCAACAACCATCACCAACTTGGAGGGCTGGGTAGGCCACCCTCTGAACCCCATCGGCTGCCTCTTTCTCACCCTGACCGAAGCTTGTAGATTAGAAGAGGAAAATTGCCTTGAAATTTCAGGTACCGAGTGCTCCTTCTGGCTCCCTTCCCAGTGGCCCAGCGGGAAGACCCTGTGTGCGGGTCTGGGGCTCGGGACTCCTGGGCTCCAGGTCTCCTCTCTCTCCGTCTTTGCAGGGGCAGCCAGGGCAGAGCTGCAATGCAAAGAGGAGGAGTTAGGCCCTGAGTTTTCCCAGCCTCTGGTTTGTAGCCAGAGCAGAGCAGGAGAGTGGCTTAGCAGAGCTTGGCCAAGGCGTGGTGGCCCATGAGAAGGCTTTGGTGTCAGCCATGCACCCTGTTGCACAGGTCTCAGGTCTCCTGCATCTTCCAGTGAGAGCAGGAAGGAGGGTGGAGCCCACATCTCCCGTAGGGAGCTTTTATCCATCATCTCTGGGTTACCAAAGGCAGGCAGCAAGGGAAGTATGAGTCTTGCTTCTGAAGTTGAGAGGTTTTTCTCTCTGCTGTGGTTCTCCCACTTAGGGAGACTCTTCTAGAAAAAAAAAAAAGACTGAGGGGGCATCTCATCAATACTTATAAATACTTACAGGGAGGGTGCCAGGTAGATGGAAACAGCCTTTCAGCGGTGGCCAGTGACAGGACAAGAGGTAATGGGCACAAACTTGACCATAGGAAGTTCCATCTTAACATGAGGAGGGACTTCTTTACTTATGAGGAGGAACTTCTTTACTTTGAGGGTGGCAAAGCACTGGCACAGGCTGCCCAGAGAGGTTGTGGAGTCTCCCACTCTGGAAACATTCAGAACTCACCTGGACACTGTCCTGTGCAACCTGCTGTAGGTGACCCTGCTCTGGTAGGGGGGTTGGACTAGGTGATCTCCAGAGGTCCCTTCCAATCCTGACCATTCCGTGATTCTAACCTTGCTGCATCTCTCCCCCTTCTTCCAGATGCCGGGGACTCCAAACCTCCAGTGTATCAACATGTGCCCGTCACGACCGGCAGCCAAGACAACGGCGAGTCCTACCTGTCCCTGGCCTTAGAGGTGGCCCTGATGGGGATGGGTCAGCAGAGGGTGATGCCTGAAGGTCTCTACGCCCAGGACAAGGTGTGTCGCAACGAGGAGCAGATCATCGCCCGGCTGCAGGACCTGGAGCTGGACCCGGTGCTGGTGCAGACCCTGCGGAAGCAGTGCATCTTGCTGCTGGAAGGTGGGGGCTTGTTCCGTCTAGCTGACTCCTGTGTCTTAGCTGAGTGCTGGCAACATCTCCAGGGTGCCCTTTTCAAGGTTTATGCCTGGCTGACCCCATCCTGGCTTCTTCCTCTGTGGGTGTGGTGCTGAGTCTGTAGGATGGCTGCTCTGCCACATCATCTGGCAAAGCAAGGGTTTGCTGACATCACTGGAGCGAGACCACCTCAGAGGCGTAATGGAGAAGGGTGCTAAGCACATGGCCTCAGTTTCTGAGGGATTTTGACCTGAAAGGGTTTTTAGAAAAGGAAAGAGCAGCCTTTTGCCCTGGGTCCAACTTGAGTAGTGCACCAGGGAGCTGCTGAGCAGATCCTCAAAGCTTTGAGGTGGTGCGAACCCCAGCTACAGATCCTGCTGTGCTAATTATGGCTGATGGGCTCTGCTTTCGCCTAGGTGGTCCCTTCAGCGGCTTGGGAGAAGTCATCCACCGTGAGAGCGTCCCCATGCACACCTTTGCCAAATACCTGTTCTCTGCCCTGCTGCCCCACGATGCAGATCTGGCGTACAAGCTGGCTTTGCGGGCCATGAGGTTGGTGCATGTTTTATTCTGTCTCTGCCCCCTGTTTCGCCTCCCTCCTCTGCTCCGCCAGGAAACCAGGATGCTTTGCAACCTTAGAGCAGGGATGGGAATGGAGGCAGGCTTGGAGCTTGCCATCACTGGGATCACCCTGTGCAGCATGTAGGGCTTCCCGGGCACCAAGCAGCAGTGCAAAGAGACTCCTGCTCTCTGTTTGGGTGATTCCTGGGTTTCAAGCCCCATCCGTAGGGATTTGCATGGGTGTGGTACTGTCTGCTGGTCCAGCCTTCTGCCCAACCCCTTGCTCCAGGCTGGACCGCCACCTGCATGTCCTGGTGACAGGTGTCCTCTGCCGGAGCAGGTCCCAGGCAGGCATGGTCTGTCATCTGCCTTCTGTCTGCCAGGCCTCGGGCACCCTGCAGGAAGGGCTGTTATCCCAGCACAGATGGGCAGATGATTTGCCCCGGGCTCCAGGATGTCGCAGAGCCAGGCAGGGAGCACAGTCGCACTCTGTTCTCCATTAAAGCCCAGCTCTGTCTCTGGGACTGGGGACAGGGGACAGGGACGATGCTGAGAGCTGCCCCATCTGTCTCCCCAGTGCATGACACACCTCAGACATCAGCCCATGTACTGCAGTTTTTTGGCAGGGGATGGATGGGTCTTGAAAAGGCTGGAATTTCCCAAATGGGTCAATGCTTGAAGGACCATCAATCCCAGAGGATCCCAGTGCCCTCGCCCTCTGATACCATCTTTCTTGCGGCATTTCCTCGGTGCAGTGGGCCATCTCTCCCCAACGCCAAGCGAAATTTTGAAAATCCCCCTGTCCTAGGAAGAGCTGCTCAGGAGGACAGCCAGACCTAAAAGAGCAGCCAAGGGGGTCAGCAGTGCATGGAGACACCATGTCCCACCAAACTTAAGACCTCCAGCCACCAAGCAAAAAAAAAGAATGGGACTGAGTGCCCTAGGGGTGCACGTTGCTCCCTTGCCATCTGTTAGTGCCTGTCCGCTGCTCCCAGCTGGGATCTCCTGTGTTGGGGTGTCTGACCTGGGCTGGGAAGGTTGGGCTTCTGCTGCCCTGTGGGTACCCCAAGCTTGCGAGCAAGGAAAGCAGAGGCAGGTGGATGCTCTCTGTGTCTGGGGAAACAATTTCCCTCCTGCACGTCTCAGCTGGCCATTGAGTTAGTGACACCACCACCAACTCAGGAGTTTAAGAGCTGACATGGTTATAGCACCATGGCTGGCGACATAAAACTCCTGTTCCCCTTCCTTAGGCTTCCTTCTCTCCCAAGCTTTCCAGGCTTTTAGATATCCCCACAATAGCAGGTAACCCAAACCGGCTGCGGAGGCCCTGGGGAAATGTGCCGCTGCTTCTGATCACAACCAGGCGTTTTAAGAAGAACCAGATGATAAAGGCAGGAGTTCTGCTGGGCGCTCTGACATGAAAGGAACGGGGAGGGAGGAGGGATTTTGCTTTTTTTTTTTTTTTTTTTCTTCTGAGGCTTGTGCTTTTTCTTACAAGTTTATAAATCACTTCACGGATCGTTCTCCTCCTTTCAAGTTGGTCTCAGATTGATCCCTGTGCCCATGTGTTGAGCACGCAGCCTCGGGAGCCCCCACACGTGCATGTCAGCGGGATGCTTTCAAAGGCGGTGCTGTGGGCAGCTGCCTGCACGCAGCCCCTGCCTCGCCTCACCAGTGCCTCAGGAAGAGGGGGCAAAGCCAGGGCTGGAGTCTGATGTTGCTTCCTCCTGTTTGCTCTTCAGGTTGCCCGTCCTGGAGACCACGGCACCGTCCGGCGATGTGACTCACCCCCACCACCTGGTCTCGGTGGTCCCCAGCAGATACCCACGTTGGTTCACCCTGGGGCACCTGGAGTCACAGCAGTGCGAGCTGGCCTCCACCATGCTCACGGCAGCCAAAGGTTGGTGAGGGGGCAGCTTTGCGACAGGGGTGATGGGACAATGCCGCAGAAGAACATCAAAGAGATTTTCCTGGAGAAAAAAAGGGAGCTCCTGCTTCTGCTCCCTCAAGCACTGGCAGAGACTGGCTGGGTGCCCCACTGGCAGCCTGCCATGGGCAGGACATGGTGAACTGGCCTCGCAGCAGCCCACCAGAGTCCAGGATCTCCATGGCTCTTGTCCCAAAGCACCTCAAGGCTTGTCGTCTGGCAGGGCAGGCCAGGAGGTTCCCAGGAGGTTCGGACAACCCTGCAGGGATGCCAACCACAGTGCTGCAGATCCTGGGCAGCGCCCCAGGGTGATGCTGGACCATGCCTGCCCTGCAGCTAGCTCTGCAGACGTGTCATGAGTTCATGCCATGGTTTAATTTGAAGCTGCTTATCCTTTTACCTCTGCTTTGTGTCTTCCTGCTCTGTGGTAATGATCTTGCACAGGCTGTAGGAGGGAGAAGGCCTCCCTGTGTGCCAAACCATGTGCGGAGTTTGGCAGGGCTGGAGATGGGGAGAGCTGTGCTGGGTGGGACACTTTGGTCCCAGCCACAGCAGGCTCATAAAACACCTCCTCGCAGGTCTCTTGGACCTCTTCGGTTCCTGCCCAGGCACAATGATAAAGGCGAGCACAGGCTTTTCCTTAAACATCCCTCCATCCAGAAACCAGCCCCACCAGGATGGCGAGCACCTTGTGCTCCATGAGGGCTGGTGAACCGAGCGGTTACCACTGCCTGCTGCTGTCCCACACAGTCTGCGGCAGCCTCCAGCCCCTGGTACTACCAGCCTAACGGGGAAGGTGCTGCTTCCCCAGTGAGCTGGAAGGTAAATGAGCTGTCTGAAAGCTCCAGCCTCGCTGCCTTGGTAGCCTCTTCTCTCACTCCACCTCCCCTCCTCTTGACTGCTTTTCCAGGGCTGATGGTGATGATGTCCTGCACCTGCCTTGCAGTGCCCTGGTGGTAGCTGGCTTATCCTCTACTTTCTCCGCCCTTCCAGCACCTAATGGGGATGAGGTTTTTATTCTGGGGGTGTAGGGTGGTTGGATCGCATCTGTTTTTCCCACTGTCCCTTCCCCAGGTGTTCTCCCAACGCAGCATGTCCAGATGTGATCCTGCGTCCTTGCAGCCTTTCTCGCCCATTCCCCCACAAGCTGTTTTAAGGAGGCTTGGCTTTTGGTGGCGATGCAAGCAGCTGCTGTGGGTGGCAGGCAATATCTTTAGCTATTAGTCACCTGAGATTTCTCTGTGTGCCCAGGTGCAGTGTTAGGTTTTTCAAATGCTGTGTGTGTCTGAGGTTCATCTGCTCAGTTTATGACTGTGGGAGTAGAAAAAAAAAAAAAAAAAAGCAGAGGGACCTGATGTGGCATGTTGGCATCTCTGGTCTGCGCCCACCCCAAAGGTCCCTGTGTCCCACAGGGGTTGACAGAAGGGTTTCCCAAGCAGGGATGATGATAAATATATTAATATGCCTTGATGGGTCCCTCTTCCAAGATCCTGCCCCATCTCCCAATACTGTCACATATCCTTCTAGCACCCATAGCCTCCTGTGACAGGAGACCCACAGCATCACTGGGTGTTGTGCCAGGAACCCCCTTCTTTGGGGGTATCTCAGCCTGTCTCAGTCATGAGAGCTGCATACCTGAGCTGGGACACTCAGGACCGTGGTGCAGTGAGTCTGGGTGACTCTGGCCCAGCCTTTGCTAGCTTTGCAGAGAGAAGGGGCTTAGTGGGCAAGACAGTATGTGTGCAGCAAACAGCTTTTCTTCTTTTTTTTTAATGTTCTAAATGAAGACTGACGTTTCTGCAGCCGTTCAGCACTGGGCATCTCCCCAAACCCCTCCTTTGTTGGGAAGAAGTCTGCTTTACAGCTGTCAAACTTGAGCCCAGGGTAGAACATCCAGGTGCCTGGAGATGTCTGCTAATGCTCCAGGACATGTCTGGGATCACTCAAGGCTGTTTATCCTCTCTGTGACAGGATGATCTTGAGTGAGGACGGGTGCTATAGGATGTATCATCTCCTGGGGAGGACACCCCATTTTGCTGTTGGACTGCAGGGCTTGATCCAGCATCCCTGTGCTTCCCTCCCTGTGTGTGTCCAGAGGGGCTGACCCTGCTGTTCACCACCCAGTGCAGGCAGGAGATGGGGCTCGAGGGCAAGCTGGGGGGAGGCCAAGCCATCTCACCGTTCTTGCCTGCACCCAGGGGACATGCTGCGCCTACGCACGGTGTTAGAGGCCATCCAGAAGAACATCCACTCCTCCTCGTTGATCTTCAAGCTGGCCCAAGACGCGTTCAAGATTGCCACTCCAGCCGACAGCAACTCGGACACAACGCTGCTCAATGTGGCACTGGAGCTGGGGCTACAGGTATGGAATGGCGCTGGGGATGCTGGTGGCCCTTCTGCCCCATGCGCTGTGGCAGCAGCACTGGTGATGGTCTTCCACCAAGCAGGTGGTCCCCTGTGGAAGGAGTAAATTCATCTCGGTGTGGCCCTGAGCAGGGGAGCTGAGCCCTGGGAGGCCGCTGTGCCTGCTTCAGTTTGGGTGGAGGCGAGGCAGCGCTGGGGAGCCAGTAGCCAGCTGGGCCAGAGGGATTTGAGGGTGGTAAGGAACTGGAACAGGTTGCCCAGAGAAGTTGTGGAAGCTCCATCCCTGCAGATGTTTAAGGCCAGGCTGGATGCGGCTTTGAGCAACCTGGTCTAGTGGGAGGTGTCCCTGCCTCTAGGGATGTCCTTCCTGTCCCTGTCCCTGCAGGGGAGTTGGAACTAGATGATCTTCAAGGTCCCTTCCAACCGAAACCATTCTACGATTCTGTCATTTTGGGGAGACCACCACTGTGTTGGGTGGCTTTGTTGGAGCCCTGTAGGGCAGCCAGTCACCCCAAGTTTGCCTCGCAGGTGATGCGCATGACCCTGTCCACCCTCAACTGGCGGCGGCGGGAGATGGTGAGGTGGCTGGTGACATGCGCTACTGAAGTGGGTGAGTGCCTCGCTGTGCCGGTGGGATCCGGCTCGCACGTGGTGGGAGCAGAGTGGGCACACTGATCCTAGGGTCATTCGTAGCCCTGGGCCTCTGAGCTCTCCTGGGTCTCCCATTTCCTCCTGGGTAACTGGATGCACCTCAGAGCACCAGCTGGCAAGGCTGGGGCCACAGCAGTGGCCGGGTTTGGGACTGGGACGGGTCCCCTGTACCTGGGCCGGGCCAGTGGTGTTCACTGTGCCCTGCAGCATGGCAGCGCAGCATAGCCTTTGCCTGTCCCCCTCTGCCCTGTCCCTGTTGGGGCAGAGGCAGCAGCTCAGCACTGCCGTGGGCTAGCTTTGCCCTGGCTCCAGGCAGCTGGGGACTTGGAGGAGCCCCGTGATCCGAGCTGGGTTCCAGGGCTGTGCCGTGACCCCGGTGTTTTCTTGCAGGGGTGAGGGCCCTGGTGAGCATCCTGCAGAGCTGGTACTCACTGTTCACTCCCACGGAAGCCACCAGCATTGTGGCAGCCCCGGTGATGTCCCACAACACCATCCTGCGCCTGAGCCTGGACTACCCGCAGCGGGAAGAGCTGGCCAGCTGCGCCCGCACCCTGGCCCTGCAGTGCGCCATGAAGGACCCGCAGAACTGCGCCCTGTCTGCCCTGACCCTCTGCGAGAAGGACCACATCGCCTTTGAGACTGCCTACCAGATTGTCATTGACGCCGCCTCCACTGGCATGACCTACACCCAGCTCTTCACCATCGCCCGCTACATGGAGCACCGGGGCTACCCACTCCGGGCGTTCAAACTGGCTTCGTTGGCCATGACACATCTCAACCTGGCCTACAACCAGGACACGCACCCGGCCATCAACGACGTGCTCTGGGCCTGCGCCTTGAGCCACTCTCTGGGCAAAAACGAGCTGGCGGCCATCATCCCACTGGTGGTGAAGAGCGTGCACTGTGCCACGGTGCTCTCGGACATCCTTCGCCGCTGCACCATGACGGCCCCAGGACTGGCCGGCATCCCCGGCCGCAGGAACTCGGGGAAGCTGATGTCCACCGACAAAGCCCCGCTGCGGCAGCTGCTGGACGCGACGATAAGCGCCTACATCAACACCACCCACTCCCGGCTCACCCACATCAGCCCGCGGCACTACGGGGAGTTCATCGAGTTCCTCAGCAAGGCCAGGGAGACCTTCCTCCTGGCGCAGGACGGGCACATACAGTTCGCCCAGTTCATTGACAATCTCAAACAAATCTACAAAGGCAAGAAAAAACTGATGCTGCTGGTGCGGGAGCGGTTTGGGTGAGCCCCGGCCCCCGCCACGCTCACTGGCAGGGGCCCGCCCCAGCGTGGGGA